AACGTAGGAGCTGGATTGTACAGCTGGATTGTCCCCCTCAGCTGAAGAGAGGGACCTGGCAAAGACCAAGTAGGAGCTCAAGGCTCGATCTAGGTAGACCGAGTCAGAACTAATGGAGGACTCAGGTGCTGTCTGATAGAAACATAGTGTGAGCCATAAGTATAGTTTTTAAAAACTTTAAATTTAGAAGTCATTATAGATTCATAGAAAGTTGAAAGGGTAGTACAAAGGTTCCATGTACCTTTCACAGTTTCCCCCAATGGGTACATCTAATGTAACGATAGTAAAATAGTAAAACCAGGAGACTGACAGTGGCACAGGGAATATGCATACGACTGTCCGTTTGTCACATGTGTGCATTTATGTAACGACCACTGCAATCAGGATACATACCTGGTCCATCGCCACAAAGATCTCCCCCGTGCTACTCCTTTATAGTCACCCCACTTCTCTTCCTCTCCCCATCCCTTACTCTTGGCAACCACAAATCTGGATGGAAAAGAGAGTTTTCCATCTCTCTTTTTAAAAGATTTTATTTATTTATTTGAGAGAGACAGAAATCACGAGCAGGGGGGAGGGGTAGAGGGAGAAGCAGTCTCCCCGCTGAGCAGGGAGCCCAATTAGGGGCTCCATCCCCGGACCCTGGGATCATGAACTGAGCCGAAGTCAGATGCTTGACCTACTGAGCCACCCAGGTGCCCTGTTTTTGATCTCTTTAATGTCATTCCAAGAACCTGATATAATAGAATCATCTGGTATGTCATCTTTTTTTTTTTTTTTAGAGAGATCGAGAGAGAGCACATGCATACACATGAGTGGTGGGGAGAGGGGCAGAGGGAGAGGGAGAGAGGGAAAATCTTTAGCAGGCTCCACACTTAGGGCTGAGCCTTGTGTGGGGCTCGATCTCATGACCCTAAGATCATGACCTGAGCTGAAATCAAGAGTGGGACACTCAACTGACTGAGCCACCCAGGAGTCTCTGGTGTGTCATCCTCTGAGATGAGCTTTTTTTTTTTCCACTCAGCATAATGCCCTTGAGATCCATCCAAATTTTATATGTATGAATAGCCCATTCCTTTTTATTGCTGAGTAGTGTTCCATGATGCGGAGGTGCTGTGGTACATGGAATGGTGTTCATCATTCACCTATGCAGGGCATTTGGGTCATTTCCAGTTGTTGATTATTACCAAAAAATAAAAGCTATGAACAACTGTGTACAGGTTTTTGTGAGGACACAAGTTTTCATTTCTCTGGGATGAATGCCCAGGAGTGTGACTGCTGAATTGTATGATTGGTGTATTTGTGGACTTTTTTTTTTTTTTTTTTTAAGAAATGGCCTGTTTCCAGAGTGTACCATTTTACATTTTACCAGCAATGTTTGGGAGATTCACTTGCTCTGCATCATTGTCAGCATTTGGTATCGTCACGATTTTTATTTTATCTGTTCTAACAGTATGTAGTAGTAAGTAGCTCACCTTACTACATGGTCTCACTTTGCATTTCCCCAATGGCCAGTGATGTGGAACATTTCTAATACACTTGTTTGCCATTCTTATATCTTCTTTGGCAAGATGTTTCTTTTTGTCTTTTGCTGACTTTCTAATTGGCTTATTAGATCTTTGATTCATTGTCAATCTTTAGGGAAAAGCATTCAGTCTTTCACCGTTAAGTGTGAGGTTAGCTGTGGGATTTTTGTAGATGTTCTTTACCAAGTTCAGGGAATTTCCTTCTATCCTTAGTTTTCTGACAGTTTTTTTTTTTTCCCCATCATGAAGGAGTGTTGAATTTTGTCAGGTGTTTTTTTCCTACATCAGTTAACATAGTTGTGTGATTTTTCTACTTTTGGCCTGGTAATGTGGTGGATTACAATGATTGACTTTCAAATATTGAACTAGACTTGCATCCTTGGAATAAACTTCACTTGGTTGTGGTATATAATTATTTTATTATATTGCTGAATTCTCTTTGCTAATAATTTTTAAGGAATTTTGTGGTTATATTCATGTGGGATATTGGTCTAAAGACCAATATCCCACATGAATATTGACCAAAGAGTGTCCCACTCTTTTGATTTGGACTGTCTTCGGTTTTGGTATCAGGGTAATACTGACCTCATAAATGAATTTGGAAGTGTTCCTTCTTTTCCCTATTTTTCTGGAAGAGATTGTGTAGAATTAATGTTAATTCTCCTTTCTATGCTTGGTAGAATTCTCTAGTGAAACCATCTGGGCTGGTGTATATCTTTTTTGGGATTTTTAAAATTACTAGTTCAATTTCCTTAATAGTGGTAAGGCTTTTCAAATGATCTACTTCATATTGGGGAGCTTACAGTAGTTTGCACTTTTCAAGGAACATGTCCATTTCATCTAATTTGTCAAGTACATGTGTATAATCTGTAGTATTTCCTCATCATCTTTTTGATAGCTGCAGGATCTGTTTTCTGTAACCTTTGCCAAGTCTGGATATTTGCCAATGTGAGAGGTGAAAAATGAGCCTTGTGGATTTAGTTTCCATATTTTTTATATTAAGTAGGTGGATCATTTTTCTGTTTTTGTTTGTGTCCTTTGCCCTTTTCCTTTTTACTTATCTTTTTCATAATTTGTAAGTGTTCTTTATAGATTATGAATGCTCACCCTCTTCTTATCATATATATTATAATCTTTCCAGTTTGTATTTTTCCTCCTTTTTTTTCAGTTTCTTTTGCTTTGCTGCATGCTTTTAATTTTCACATAATTAAGTCAATCAATATTTTCCATTAATGCCTCTGGGATTTCATGCTGTCTCCATCAGTAATCAATTGCAAGAGATAGAACCCAAATCAAACTAGTTTGAGCAAAAAGAAAAAAAGAGAAAGAGAAGAAGGAAGGAAAGGAAAAATGGATGGATGGATGGATGGAGGAATGGCCGGATGGAAGGATGGATGGATGGATGGATGGAAAGTAGGAAGGAAAGAAGGAAGCAAGCAAACAGAAAGAATGTTGGCTTATATAATTGGGCACTGCAGAGGTCGATGTCTCTGCATGGCTGGATTGAGGCTCTCATCAATATATCATCAGGGTTCTGTCTGTCTTCTCTCACTTTCAGCTTTGTCTGTATCGTGTGGGATATCATTTTGTAAAGCAGCTAGGCTCTGGGTAATGATAAGAAGGCTACTGGCAGTCCCCAAATTACATTCTAATGATTTAGAATCCAAAACTGAAAGCTCTTGGAATCTGTATTTCATATCCTGTGGAAGGATTCAGAATGATCCTGTTTGGGTTATGTGCCCTCCTTCTCCATGCCTTGAACTGGTCCATAAAGATGAGGGATATGTCATGATTGGTCATTTGCCCAGTTCTGTAGCAGGTGAGCAGGTGAGGTATTCCAGGCAGCAACAGCTCCCTAGAAGAATGATGGTAGAAAGTGGGAGCCAAAGGAGTCCTTTAAACATGTCACTCTTAGAAAGACCTTCCCTAGCATAAGATGATACAAGAAAAAAAAAGGTTGTTTTTTCCTAATATGTATGTTTCACTATTTTACATCTAAATTTTTGACCCATGTGAGAAGGTGAGGGAGACAGAGACAGAAGGCCAGGGGCAGGGAGGGGAGAGATTATGGGGTGATGTAAGCATCTTTTGCTGGAGGCTCTTATACCAGAAAAGAACATGACCTTGGAACTTCTTTGGTCACCCATTTCACAGCTCCATCACTTTCCTTTTCTGTTTCTTGAGTTTATTTTGAGTTAACACGAATCCTATAAGATTGGGATGGTGGGAAGGGCAAGGGCTTCATCTAGCAGAGGGCTTTTCACAGTGGGCATTAACACATGTCTGATTCAACGTGTCTGAACCCGAGGTTCATGACTCCAGGGGACATCTGGGCATCCAGATATTATATGACAATGGGAGGAATAGAGCGGGATCCGGGGGCACCACAGTATCCCAAACTACTTGAAAATGAGGGTAAAGGTAAATCTTGAGTTCCCTCCCAGAGCCCTGACGGGGGTGCAGCGAGGCAGGGTGAGCCTCAGGGAGGAGATAAAGGACAGAGGCAGACAGGGGGTCGGCCCCCTCACCACCTCCTCTGTGCATACTCAGGTCATGTGTGGGGGACCCAGCCGCGGACACCTGCTCTCCTAAAATACGTTCCCAAGTATTAAGTAAAAGCTTCTTTATTTTATCTTTTTAACATTAGGAGAATCTTTTACAAATGATTCTCTTGTGTTGCAAATGAATTATCTCAAGTTCAACAATTCTTTCTGTTTCACCTCTGTTTCTTTTTCTTCACTGAACTCACAGAAAAAAAAAATTAAGATTTTAATTTTAAAAGCATGTACAGTATGATCCCATTTGTATGAAATTATTTCATTGACGATGGTCCCAGCTGTTGATCCCTCCATCTCTTTGTATGTCAACTGTCAAGAACAGTTATTTCTAGGTTGCATTGGTTTCTTTTTTTGTTTTTTGCTTTTTTTTGCTCTCATCTTTTAAAAATAATAAGCACTTACCATTTTTATAAAAGCAGTAGACTTATTCCTTTTAAAGAATAAAGTCTGCATTGAGAAGCATCCACCTTCCGCTGCTTACAGTTGGGTATATTTTCCTCAGTATCCAAGTGAATGTTGTCTGTTGGGAATTATTAGTTGTCAATTTGTGGTGAAGTCGACCCAGAGCCGCAGAGGACCTTAGCCAGAAAGGGGAGGGACGAGAGAAGACACCCAAAGAGGAGAAAAGAGAAGAGACATAAATGAGGCAGACCTCCGGGCCAGGGGATGGCCTGTGGCTTCAGGGGGGAGGGGCCTCCACGTGTCTATGACAGAAGACTGCTGCTTGTCACCACCTCGGCTCCATCACCTCTTTGTCCTCAGACGCCTTGCATATGCCCGGTGTTAGGCTGCTTTCATATCCCTCCCCGGGCCGAAATCAGCATTGTGCATCCAGCAGGCGCTCAATAAACGCTTAACGGATGCTCATTTCCCAAGGGGGGTCATTCTCCCTAAATGGCACCTCTTTGTCTTTCAGGCTCACAGGCTTTCAGCTACCAGCTACCATCGTCAGCGCTGCCACCACCCTCTCTCTACGCCTCGTCAGTGACTATGCGGTCAGCGCGCAGGGCTTCCACGCCAGCTATGAAGGTAGGTGCCTCCCGGCCTGGCCACAGGGGCCTGGCGTGTGAGGTCAGAATGGCTGTGGGCAGGGCCGTGTGGCTCTCAGCTGCAGGGGTGGGATGTTCCTGATTCAGAGCTTCCTCCTGTCCTAACAAGGCTGCCTACTAACCAGTAACTTGGTTACCTAAGTTGTCCGTTCCATATTCCCAGAAAACTGAAAATTGAAATCAGAGCTCAGGGGCAGTCATTTATCCTGAGGGTCTGGTAACATCCTACTGGTCTGTCCCCTAAATGCGTTTGGTTGTGTTTTTATTTTTTTAATTCTGTTTTCTGTCGGGCTTGATTGTGTAAGGTATCTCTGCTTGGTTTTGGAAATAAGAAAGATAGAAAGTCTAAGTAAAAGAAATACAAAAAGTAGCTGAAAAAAAATTATGCTCAATCTTGTCACTGCAGAGAGTCAGTGTTAGATCATTCAGAGAAGAAAAATCCATTTTTCGTTAATAGCACAGATTAGGGTTTCTTGGTTTGAGTTATGCAAATAATTTCCACTTCTCTCAGCTTGTTTAAATATAGTGTTGGCATTCAAATTAACACTAATATCTTCAGATTATACACTATTATTATTATTAATTTTATTATATTAGTTCAGAAGGTGGTACTTCTAGATCTCTGTCATTTCCCTGGGAAATTTACATCTCATTAATAGGTAATTGTGCTGCTCTTGGCTAAGACCCACACTGCTATTTTGTGTTGAGATCATTAATAGGCATATTTTAAGACCGTTAATGATAATTAATAACAGTAATGACATAACACCCTAGTAAAGCATGCCAGTTATTTGAAAGCTTTCTTGCCTCCAAGGACTTAAAGAATAAGTGATGCTTTTTCAAATGGAGCTAAAGCAATATAGAAACAAATACCACCTTTGTCCTGACTAGGAATAGACTATGGAAACAGGGCAAGTCCTACTTCTTTGGGAAAATCCACCCGTGGTAGTCGGGGTGTGGGGGACAGAGTTTGATGCTTTAACCTGAGCGTTTGAGGACTCCTGAGAAAGGTCTGTTATTTTTAACTAAAGTTTCCTGAGAAGGCTCCAGAGAAAATTCTGCATGCCTTTCTTTAACTGATAGTTTCTGACATAATTCCAGATCACTTTAACAGAGGGCTCCTGACATAACCATAGTCACCTTTAGCTGAGGGCTCCTGACAAAGACCTAATGGTCTCTAAAGGTCTCTTGAGGTAGCCCAATTTCTTTAGAAAAAACTGATCATTTCCTCCCAGTATCAAGTCTGTGATCTTGGTCATTCTAGCTACATCTTTACCCCAAACCTTTGTCCCTGAACCCAAAGTAATTCTCTCCAGGTTTGAGTTACAACCTCCTTACCAAGAGATGCCTCTTCAGAAATCCCTTACAGCATCTCTGGTCCTGAGTTCCTTTTACAGCATGTTGGCCTGGGGGAGACTGGATGTGTTTGGGGATGGTGGGGGGAATGAATCAGGGACACCACAGTTGGTGTCTGCAGAGATGCTGGGAGGGGCTGACACAGAGGGCCGTGGCTGGAACCTCACGATGTCCTCAGTCCACCATCCTTTTAGATATTTGTCTGAGGCCTGGGCTTTCATGAGTGTCCTATTGATCCCTGCCCACATTGCCCCCTCTGGGAAACAATGCCAAGCACTTTTCCACCAGGCAGAGCAGATCTGAGGTTATAGTCACTGATATTGTTTAAATCAGAGGTGGTATGTAGCCTGGGAATCATGGGCGGGGCTTATAGTTGGACATCAAAGGTCTATAAACCCCTTGAAATTAGGGGCAAATTTCTGATATTTAAAAAAATTTTTTTTTTTTTTTAGAACAAGTGCTAGCAGGGGGTGGGTGGGCAGGGGAAGAGGGAGAGAGAGAATCTTAAGCAGGCTCCATGCCCAGAGCAGAGCCTGACACAGGGCTCGATCTCACAACCCTGAGATCATGACCTGAGCCGAAATCAAGAGTCAGATGCTTAACTAACTGAGCACCATTCTGAATTTATATGGATGTGTGTGTGTATGGGTGTGTTTTCTTTTTTTAAGGAAGGGTCTAGAACAGAGATCAACAAACTATGGCCTGCTGGCTAAATCCAGTCCGTGTTTGTTTTTGTAAATAAGGTTTTATTAGCATGCAGCTAAGCCTATTTGTGGCCATGTTGTCTATGACTGTTGGCCTGCGCTACAACTTCAGAGTCTCGCTGCTGCCACAGAGACCACGTGGCCTGCAAAACCTAAAATCTTTACTCTCTCGTCCTTTACAGAGAAAGCTCGTTGACCTTTTGTCTAGAGCTGTGCTGTCCAGTGTGGTCGCCATTAGCCACATGGAAATATTTATATTTACATTACTCAAAATGAAATAACACTTAAAATTCAGTTTCTCAGTCCCATTAGCTTCCTATCAAGTGTCCAGGAGCCACACTTCCATCAGCTTCACAAAGAGTCTACGATTCAAAAGAGGTTATAAAATAGTACGGTAGAGTAGAGGCTGATGGGTCCCTCCTTCCACCTGCCTGGCACAGAGGAGGGAGCCCAGACATGAGAGGGCTCAGCATTCTGCCGCAGGACCAACGGGCCAGAGGAAGGGCCTGCCCTACCCCAGCCACATAACGGTGTCATTGGTGGTAAGAGCACAAAGCCTTGTGGGCAAAAGGCCCAGGCAAACCCCATCCGTGCACACAGGTTGCTGTAACTGAGTCCCCGTGCAGTCTCCTGGGCAGCGTTTCTTCCAGCTCCGGTCTGTGTGGCTGCTGTCTTTGTGTGGCCTGGCAGAGTGGCTCAGAGATGAGTGTGCTAACAAGGGAGCCAAGCACAGAGAAGCCGAGGCTGGGGCTCTCACCAGATCCCATGGATCTGGCCTGGAACTGGACCCTGGGGCAACCTGTGCATCCAGAAAACTATGAATTGCACTGACTTCTGGAATACCCCAAGTGGAGGGGCGGCGGGGGGTGGCCGGGAAGGTGGGAGGAACCAGTAGGGGCAGCCGCCGCTGGGAGTAAACCACGTGCTACCTGCATTCACCGTGGCGGCCTGGGCCTGTCTGTCACTGGGCTTATCAACACGACGCCAAATAATCCCATCTTTGCGGATTTACTGATAAACACTAGCTTCTTAGGCCTGTAACTGACTAACTGACCTTGGGCAGAATTTTTGGAACTACCTGGGCGTCATTGAAGGGGAGGGGGGGATCCAGTAGTCAGAACAACTCTGAAGATTTGGCTTTCTGGGGAAGAGGTCAGCTCCATTGCGGAGTGCACCTTAGACAATTGTGCTGGACAAGTCCTAGACAGACAGGGTCCAGAAGAGGAAGCCCCCGCTTCACCATGAGGCCAGGCTGCCCCCCGCCATGACGGCCCCCTTGCGTTCTCTAGTCAGGATGTTGCCGAATCCATTTAGAAAACATCTGGGTCCTGCTCTTGATAGCTCCCCTTGGCCGACGTCCCTGAGAGTCCACTATCAAAGCGAGTTTGTCTCCTCCACTGCATCGGGAGCGTGGAAAGTGCTGATACGGGGCTGAGCTCCTGCGGAGACTTTGGAGAGAGGTGAAGTCAGGTGAAGAGTGTCAGCCCACGACAGCTGGCCCTTCAAGGCAAAGATCAAAAAGGCCAGTCGTTTAACCCTGAAGACGACAGGAGATGCTTGATTTGTAATCCCCGGGGACAAGAGCGTGGGCTGCGGCCTCGGACCAGAGGGAAAGGGATCAACTTGTATTACGCGCTGACTGTATGCCAGGCACTTTACATACATTTTCTCACTTAATCCCCATGGCAGCCCTGCGGACAGACATTGCTATCTCCATCTTACAGATGTATGGGCTGTATGCGCCTCGAGAGTTTTGTGTTCAGCTTCAGGCTACTTGATGGCCAGGAGTTTTTCCGTGGCTTCACTAAAGACTGCGCTCCCTGCAAAATTCCTAGAGTAGGGCAGAAATGGGTGACTCCATTTCATGGGCAGGTAAACTGGAGCTAAGTCAGAGGCAGGGGGAGGACCCAGGAAGCCTGCCTCAGCTTCAGCACCCCTCCTGGCTGGTGTGGGTCATCCTGGGGAGGCAACAAGAGATGTGTCCAGAACCTCTCAGCTGGGGTTGCCGGATAAACTCCAGGATGCCCAGTTAATTGGAATTTTAAATTATTCAAATTAGAAATTTGAATAGTTAAAGTAGAAGTCTATCCCAAACATTCCACGGGATATACTTATGCTAAAAACTTGTCCATGGTCCATCTGAAGCCCGAATTTAAGAGTGTCCTGTGTATTCATTTGCTGGCTCTGGTAACCCTATTCTCAGCACTGAGTCCCCAGGAGTCCTCACCCCATTCACTCCCTGCCCCCCTTCCTGACTTCCAGATCTGCCCCTGTCCTGCTTTGCCCACCTAGGGTTGCCCATCCTCCGCAGAGGGTCCAGGCTCACCTCTGCCAATCCGGCGAGTGTACATTTAGACAGCTCTCCATGCGTGCACACGGACGTGTGCATCTGCCCAGGGATGCAGATCCACATGCCTTTGGAGTTATGCTCTATGTGCAGTTCTGTAATCTGGTTAATGGGGATGGCGTTTTTCTATGTTAATAGAAGTAGTCCTGCTTTGTTTGTCCTTCCGAATGAATATCAGCAAAGGGACCACTGTGGTTTGCATATATCACAATTATTTAACCAGTAGTCTTCTGTGGACACTTAGGTGAGGAACATTCTTGTACATACAACTTAAACCCTCATCTAATTATCTTCTTAGAATAAATTCTTGGAAGTGCAATTGCTGGGTCAAAGAGTGGGTAGATTTTACATTTTAATGCATAATTCCACGGTGTTCTTGGAAAGGTTATGTTGATACACACCTCCACCAACAGCACATGAGGGCCTAGCCCTCTGCCCCCTACTTTACCTACGTTGCATGTTGGTGAGTTTTAAATCCATTTCATTGATTAAAATAGATGAAAATTGAAATCTCATTGGTTGTTATAATTTCTGTCTTTTTGATGACAGGGAGGGTCGAGCACCTATCTTCAC